ACCGACGGATTCTCGTAGCTCTACCCTTGTTTGCGGTTACTATGGCGTTCATGAGACAGCCTCCTTTAGTTCGGGTGAAAGCAAGCTATGCTCGCATCTGGCGTACCACGGCCTCACAGCAGGATCTCATGTCTGCTAAAACTGCTTGCTTGCACTGAATCAACAAGAGGTAGCAAAACATGTACTCTCAGAGAGCAAATCATTTGTTTGAGTTGTTTCCAAGTTGATCTGAGTACTTTTATGGTAGACACGAAGACGATGATGGTGTGGCAAAAAGTGCAGAAGTGGTTGTCGAAGCAATCTAGATGTATGCCCCTTGTCCGAAGTCTTCTGCCTGAGTGGTCATGACACTTTCCAGCGTCAGACCGTGGCTTTGGTACATTTAGAGATGTCTCGCCGGCAGTCTTAGCACCAAATCATTACAGGTCTGGGAAGACATCGAAAATTATTCTGACTACTCGAACAAAGGACTTTGGACAAGATGCATTCACCTAGGTCGCCCTGACAACACGACCGAGTTGCGAAAAGGAAGCCAAACCAATTCTAAATACTTTTATGTTCGTGTAGGCCAGAGTGCTGAACCTCCAATGGTAAACGCCAAAGTTGTACGAACAAAGCCCAGCATCGGTCTAGGATCATCAAGGCTTAATGACGCGAGGAAGTGCGTGAGAACCGTAACAGAATCGGCCAGTTTTTGTTGAAGGCCCAACACCTCAGCTCTTTCTAAGCATACCAATCAAACAGAACAATTGTCAAACCCTACTCATTTAGATACGAAGTGTTTCGATTAATCTCTTGAGCTAATGGTGTGTGTAGACTATCATTTGGTAGAAAGATTGGTTAATCTAACCTGAAGACGACGGCCGAATCCTTTTGTTATGCAGTCGTTTGGCTTTAATTCGACATTCAGGTTTCGTCGAGACGTCTTCGTTTCAGATGAAAGCGGGACAAGCTTGGTTCGTCATATGCCAAGGGCTGCGTCAACCTGAACGTCGCATTAAAACCAAACGGCTGCTGATCAACGAGCAATCAGTTATCGTATTCATGGTACGATTTTCTCCATCATGCACTTTCAGACGAAAGTAAAGTCTACAACAACCAATGTAAGCAGTACTCAATTAACATCCCAACTCAATTCCTTACATTCAGCGTATAAATTTACCTTGAGTTTGGCGGCGACCCAACAACGTAAGGGGTTTTAATTCTGAAAAAATACCTGTGAACGGGTCAAAGAAATGTGGTAATTATTCACGCGTGTTCATACCAATCTATGTGCTGCTGCTGCTGCTACTACTACTACTTATTTAGTGATGTACAAATTTACTAATATATTTATTTTCAGTTCTTTTGGCTCATTGTGACTATATTTAGCGTGTAAGGAGTCGAGTAGCTGAGAATCGAGGTGAGGTCATGCGCTTATAAACACAATGAAGGTCACCACAACATAGTTGTTTCAGGTGATTGATCGAAGCCCGATTACGCTTCGCATATGTGGCAATTTATTCAACACAAACTGAACCTGAAAACCAACCTTGCTTACTGTCAAACGTCCCGAGATGTGTGGACCCTATTCTCAAGGCTGTATTCGCCCACTCCTATAAAAGACAGTCTTGACAAAGGCATCTTATTTTGTTTTAGGGGGTGGATGAGCGGAATCCACAAAACGGTCTTACCCAAAACCGAAGGGACAAGTTGACCGTTGCCTTACGCAAACAAGCCCTCGACGGTATGTAGAAAACTGATTTTCGAAGAATCCCTTAATAAAGTGATGCTAAATTTCGCTTTAAAGGCGAGTGGAGGATATTGGCAAGTTGGCCTCACGGGAAGCTGTAGGAGGATGGCCTTGGAGATGTGATTGCAGATTTGTGCAAACAGGTCCCCGGCGCCCCCCTGCATCACAAAATCTTCATTTTGAGGGCACGGCTAACAATGAATTATTTAGGCATACACACACACAAAGGCGAACATCTACCAATTCGCGCACACGTTCTTTTTCAGGCTCATTGCCTTGGTATCTTTAACAATGAGGAGCAGAAACGCATGCTTACAAGTTTCCATTATGGATATCTTTTGTAGATATTGTGTAATTGATTACGTCGAAGGGCACGCCTCGATATGTCTACATAATTATATTTGTCCTTAATCTCAATAACAACGACAAAGATCCGCACAGCAACGACATTAACGGATAACTTTATTCTTTTCTCCATGTCATGCTCCAGACGACGGCTGTCCTACCGCTCGCAACGCCACACAGACGGATTGTCGACCTTATGTGGATGCCGGTAATGATTCGGAACCGCCCTCGCGACGACGTCGGGTAACCTCCGTGGAAGTTGTTCCTAATGGCACCATCGCACTGGATGAGGCAGCTCCTCAGGAAGACGCAAAAGCCAGGAAAGGAGGAGAAACGTTGTGTCAAAATGAGGTGAATGTGTTTGAAGGAGACAAAGATACGAAAAAGGAGAGGCAGGTGATGGAGGAACGGGATAATGAGAGGAAAGTGAAGAAGCTGGGGCTGGAGAAGAGCAAAAGTCGGGAAGAAGGCGAAAAAGAACAGGGAAAAGGAGACAGAGAAGGGAAAGAGTACAAAATGGAACAGAGGCCTCAGCTCACACAAGAGGCTGCTATCCCCCATGCCCTGGATACGTCTTTACATAGTCCTCTCCTTAATGATCTCTGTCTGACCGGATCCGACGACTTTCTACTGGATGCTGAGACGATCAAGGAGCTTATGATCGCCAATGAGGATGCATCGGAGACCATATCGTCACGGCAAGTGGAGACAGACGGAGCCTATCGGAATGGGCATTCCGATCAAATTCAGCTCTCCAGCGGCCTCGGAGGACAAGCTTTGTTGACTCGAGAGTTGGCTTCTCATGTGCTTTTCCTTACTGCTGCTTGGCTGCGTCGCTTCGGCGTATTTCAGCAACTTCCGTAAGTCTTGACACTGACTATTGTCAAGTTAATTTATGTCTTTAATTGCATTTTATATGTATTCTGTGCTTTGCTGAGATGATTATTCATCGGGCTGATGTTGCTGCAGGCCCATCATGTCTAGACTGCTAGCGAATTGTTTGTATTAAAATGTCTTGCTACTGACAAGTAGTATACATTAAATGTATATAATTAAGCCAAAATTTGAAGATCTTTGTATTGTATTTTTTTCTTTTCACCAGGTCTCAAATTAAGCGTAATTTGCTCACTTGGACATGGTCAGATCTATTCCTTTTGGGTATCTGCCAGACGGTCGGCTCTATTACCCAGTCATGTGACTCTTCGGTTTCTGGTGAGTTTCAACAAGTCATGCTGTAAACGTTTTCTCAAATTTATTGCCAATACTAAATTGCAATTCGGTTGATACTCAGGATTCCTCATTGTTTATTTGATATCAAAGCTTGACAGTCTATCCGACTGGGAGCCAGTCGGACTGACTA